CTGGGGCTTTGGGGGAAAAAAAATAAAATAAAATAAAAATTAAAAAAAAAAAAAAAGACTTAATTTAAAGCTACGGTTATTTAAGACAATGTTGTATTAGAGCACAGACAGACAAATAAACAACAGAATGGAGAGTTCAGAAACCCACACGTAAGTGGATACCTGATTTATGACAGAGATGAGACTGCGGTGAAGGGGGAAAGAATGATCATTTTATTAAGTGGTGCAGTTCAATGAAACATCCGTATGAAAAAATGTATTCTGACCCCCTCCCTCACAGACTACATAAAAATCAATTCCAGTTACATTGTAGATCTAAATGTAAAAGGTAAAAGTACTAAGTTTTTAGAAAATAAATAGGAGGCTATCTTCATGACTTTGGCGGAGGCAAAGAATTCTTAAATTATAACAGCATTAACCATAAAGGAAAAAAAAAAGCAGATAAAGTGGACTTTAGTAAAATTAAAAATCTTTCCATCAAAAGATACCATTGAGAAAAAAAAAAGATACCACTGACAGTGAAAAGCCAAGCCACAAAGTGAGAAGACATCTGCAATACTTACTCCAACAATAGACTTGAATCCAGAATGTATAAATAACTTAAAAATCAATAAAAAGGTCATATATCCCAATTTTTTTAAAAATAGAAAAAGACTTGAGCAGGGAAAGAAGACTTCCGAATAGCCAATAAATGCAAAAAAGGTGGTCAATTTCCCTGCTCATTAGGAAAATGCAAATGAAAACCACAACACAGTGGGTACCTGTATATGCTCCCCACTGTCAAAAACAAGGAGCAACTGGAATTCTCTTTCACACGCTGCTGGTGGCAATGAAAAGAGCTACAGCCACTTTGGAGAACACTTTGGCAGGATCTACTAAAGCTGAAAAGACCCAGCAATTCCACTCCTGGGCATACACTTGACAGAAATGCCTGCACGTGTTCACCAGAAGACATGTAGCAGAATGTTCATAGCAGGACTACTCATAATAGCAAAAAACTAGAAACAACTCAACTGTGCATCTACGTTTGGTGGATAAGTAAATTACAGTATGTTCATATAACAGAACACACAACGAGACTAAACGACTTGCAACAACATGGATGAATCTCACGAACACATGTTGAGCAGAAGCCAGACAAAAGAGAGAACACAGAGGACGATGCCATTTACATGAAGTTCAAAGGCGGGCAAAGCTAATCTGTGGTGAAAGAGGTTGAGATGGTGGTGACCCTTGGGGGTTAGAGACTAGAGGGGCACAAGGAAGGCGGGGGTAGGAGGGCTGGTTCCACGGGTGTGTTCAGTTTGGGGAAATTCAGTGAGCAGTACACTTAGGATTTGTGCAAGTTTCTGTATGCATGTTACACTTCCATAAAATCTCTTGAAACTAAAAACAAAAAAAATTAAAGTAGGGTGGGTGCTAGAGTATTCCTCACAAGCTGCCTGCCTGGACTCTTTCATGAACCCAGGACCAAATCCACATCCAGGACTTCTTGGAGTGCAGTTTAAAGGACCCTGATCGGGCCGGCCCTGTGGCTTAGCGGTTGGGTGCGCGCGCTCCGCTGCTGGCGGCCTGGGTTCAGATCCCGGGCACACACCGACGCACCGCTTCTCCGGCCATGATGAGGCCGCGTCCCACATACAGCAACTAGACATACAGCTATCTACTGGGGCTTTAGGGAAAAAAAAAAGGAGGAGGATTGGCAATAGATGTTAGCTCAGAGCCAGTCTTCCTCAGCAAAAAGAGGAGGATTAGCATGGATGTTAGCTGAGGGCTGATCTTCCTCACAATAAATAAATAAATAAATAAATAAAGGACCCTGATCTAGCCCAACCCCCTCACTCTATTATGAATATTTCAATCCCCCCATTTTAAAGGAGGGAACTGAGGACAGGGAGGAGAAGAGACCTGCCCGGGTCACACAGCGTGTGGATGGCAGGGCCAGGCCTAGAATGCAGCCGTGAGGGCTCGGAAAGAAGCAGAAATTGAGGCAAATCGAGGTGGTGTGGTGCCAAGAGCGGGTTCTGCCAAATCAAATCAGCTCTGCCATCTTCTAGCTGGGCGACTTGGGTATATCACTTACCCCTCCTGTGCTTTAGTTCCTTCACCTGAAAACTGGGGGACATAATGGTACCAACCTCAGGGCTGCCATGAAGATTAAGTGAGTAACACAAGAAAAGGGCTTGGCACAGTGCTCAAAGACATTGGCCATGATGATTGCTATTTTCATCAGGGATGCCAGATCAGGAGAGAGAAGGGGAAGGGACTCATGTGCTCAGCATGCCTTCTGTGCTGGGCACTGCCACGGGAGCCTTCTTATCTAGGGCAATTCCCCCACAGCCCTTCAATGTGGGATTAATAGACCCATTTCACAGATGAAGGTATGGAAGCTGGAGAGGTGGACGACCTGAAGTGGTAGTAGGGGAAGCCCGGAATGAGAGTGAGGTCTGTCTGACCCCAGAGACACCAAAAAGCAGGACGAGACGTCACAGGTAGATGAAGGGAATCATGGGGACCAACTAAGTGCCCTGAGAACTCTCCGGGAGGGGTGGGGTCTGGGGCTCAGGGAAGGCACTTGCACAGCCTCATTTCCCTGGGCCTTCTCTTGCCCCTCTACCTTCCCTGTGGGGCCTCTCTCAAACTTGGCACCACCAGCCCTCTCTCTCAGCTCCAGACCTGTGAGCCCCACCTGAGACAGCCCTACCCTCCACCCCAACCCAGACCTGCTCCCTCACTCAGGCCCAGCCCATTAGCCACCACACCCTGTCTGTGTGCTACTTCCTAACACCCCACATCAGATCCCCCTCCCTCCCCACAGCCCCAGCCCAGCTCAGGCCTGTCCTCCTCCACCTGGAGCACCTCTCCTCTCTAGCAGCCTCCCCCAAGGGCCCAGGAGCTTTCTGACATCCTGATCCGGCCCTGCCCCTTCCTGCTCAACTCTCCACGGCACACGGAAGCGTAGCAGAGTCCTTCAGAGGCCCTTCCCCACCTGCTGCCCCACAGCCTCTGGACCACCTCTGTCGTAGCACTCGCGACCCCTCCTTGCTTGCTAGGTACCAGGCACCATTCTAGGCCCTGGGGACAGAGCAGGGAAGAAGACACTGACTGCATCTTGCCCCAGGCACCCAGGTTGATCACGTCTGACACAGGCCCTATCCAGAAACACAAGTCAGAAAACGCTGGTGAACGAACAGGCACGTCTGGTTGTGCACACCGAGGCCACTGTCTCTGTCCAATCTGACAAACCCTTCCTGAGGCCCCTGCTCCTGCTGCCTAGGATGCCCAGTCCCTCCTCTGTGCGCCCAACTCCTACACAGCTTCTGAAGCCCCATCTAATGCCACCTCCTCTGTGAAGCCTTCCTCAGGCCTTCTAAAGCTGAGTCATTCCCTCTTTTCTTTGGGGGGGTCCCTCGTTACCCTGTGTGGGAATGACTGTGTACAGGTCTGTCTCCTCCATCAGACTGGGATCCCCTCCCCCAGTGCCACTCAAGAGCAGGGAAACCACGAGACCACCTGTGACTCATTCCTGTGCCTCCAGAATTTGCGTAAGTCCTGGTGCACAACAGCTTCAGTAAATATTTGTGGAATGAATGAATGAATGAATCCATCAACAGAAGAATCAATCTCACGAAGAGAACAACATCAGCTGGAGAGCCTTGGGGGAGAAGAGGAGACTCGAAGCCCCTGGGGTCAAGGCTTGGCTCTCCTGACATCCCCTCCCTGACCTCTGCACCTGCTCCCCACCAAGAACCCCGACTCTTCCGGCTCCAAGAAGCCTCTGGGACTGACCACATTCCCATAGGCATAGAGGCGCAACTTCTTCCAGCCAGCCGGCCTGGCCCTCAGGGCCCCTCAGTGACGCTGTTACGAAGTGCCTGGTTTCCCATCTGCAGGCCATCTGTCCCTCCCCAGCAGGTTTACTGGCCCTTCTCCAGAGGGACACGAGGTCCCCGTTAGATCAGGAGTTCCCTAGGGACTGAGGGAATGGTTTTGTGACACACTGCTTTAGGGGGCCTCTGACATCCTGCAGGACCCTGTATTAATCCTCTCAACCTCGGCATCCACAGCTTTAGCCCACCCAGCTCAGTTACTGAGGAGCTCCCACAGATAACAGATGCCAGCAGACCTGGGATTTGGCTGCTACGAAGAGCATGGCTGCCTGGCATGCCCGGCCTCCAGGCCCAGCTGCTCTGGGCAGCCTCCTGCTCACCAGGTCCTGCGCATCACCCCCTCCCTGACCTCCTGGCAGCCCATCGTGCCTGGCAGGGTGCACAGGCTCCAAGTTTGACACTCAATTCCAGCAGGGACTCACCGTGTGACCCATTTCCTTACCTTCAAAAGAAGGAAAATAAGCTGGACTTTGTAGAGTTGCTGAGAGGTTTACAGAGTGACACCTGGGGAGGGCCCAGAACAGTGCCTGGTGCAGAATGGGTGCCTGACAAACATTTGTTGACACAGAAAGGCCCCTCTGACTCTGATCTGGTAAAATGCAAGAACGGCAGCCCCAGAGGCTACAGGACGATGTCTCTGGCTGGTGCTCAGATACGAGAGCACTGGACATTCAGAGCACAGCAATTAAGACTCAGGCTCTGGAGCCTCAGAGACTCAGCTCCTGTCCCAGCTATGCCCTATACTTGCTGTGTGACCTGGGGAAGTCACTTCACCTCTCTGAAACTTGGTTTCACATCTTCAAGATGGATATTAAATAAGTTGGCATATGTCAACACTCATTTGGCAAGGATGACAAAACGACCACTCTAGCGATCATGATTTATGGGGGTCTACCACGGGCCAGACACTGTGTGAGGCACCCTGCCTGTGCAGCCTCATGGAATCCTCATGATATGCACCTATGAGCCAGTCGTTTCTGTCTCTGCCATGTGACAGCAGGCTGGCAGAGCCCGGGGCTGGACCTGGCTCTGATGGCAGAGTCTGTGCCCTCCCCTGCTCTGGCAGCGATTAGGATGGTGATGCCTTGGTCACAATCGGGGGTTGTCGGGTGCATGAGTCATGCTCCCACTGATCTGTGCGCTGTGCCAGCCAAGGCTTCCCTCCTCCTCACTAGGACCTGGCTGGGGCATTGCTCAGGAAAGGCTCCTTCACCTTCTGCCCCACCCTCCCAAGGGCCACTCACCAGGATGGTTGTGACCACCAGTGTCTTGTTGGCCAGTGTCTGCGACAGGTTGATGTCCAGGGTGGTGGCATTCATGGCCAGGGTCCGGTTAGAGTACCATACCCCAATCTGTTGCAGAGAGGGTGCTGTCAGCACAGGCCCTGCCTGAGGACGCCTCAGCCCTCTGGGCCCTGGCCCCACCCCACTCTCACCCCATGAGGGCTCTGGCGTCTCCCTGGGCCTGCTCACCTCGCGGTGGCCGTGCCGGGACTTCTCTAGGATGCGCAGGGTGTAGTTGGTCCTCTGCCCTTTGCTGTTGAACTCGACTCGCCCAGTCAGCCCATCATACTCTACCTAGCAGGGTGGGAGGCGGGCAGAGGGAGGGGTGGCAAGGGCCCAGAGAGACGGGCCAGAGAGGCCCACAGGGGACAAGACAGAGGTGG